ACTAAGATTGTCTTTTTTTTTTTTCTTTTTGTCATCCTGGCGATTGAACCTCAGGGCCTTGAGCATGCTGGGCAAGAGCCCAGTCATTAAGCTACAGCCCCAGTCCTAACTACTTTTTTTTTTTTTTGGTGAACTCAGAGTCTTGTGCTTGGTAGGCAGACAAGCTTGAGCCACTCCACCAGCCCTTTTTTGTGATGTTTTTTTATTTGAGATAGGGACACAGAACCATTTGCCTGGAGTTAGCTTTGAACCACGATCCTCCTTACCTCTGCCTCCTGAGTAGCTAGGATTATAGGTGTGAGCCACCAGTGCCCAACCAGTCCTAACTTTCTAGTCTTTAACAGACAGTAATAGTGTTTATCTCTTAAGTATCTACTAAATTCATTTTCCTATCCATCCCCCTGTCCTTGCCTTCCTTGGGTTTAGGCTCTCATTGTTTCTACTTGTCAAGAATCCTGACTAGGCCACTTGTCTTCAATGTTGTAGTCCTTCCAAAAGCATTATACTCAGAAGGAGCCTCCACTAGCAGAAACTTTGTTTTTGTTGTTGAGACAGGGTCTTACTATGTAGCCCAGCCTGGCCTGGAACTCAAGATTCTCCTGTCTTGGCCCCTGGAGTGCCAGAATTACAGGCATGTACCACCTGTCCTCTTGGCAGTTTTTCCAGACCCCCTAGTCTTCTAAACTCCTGGCGGCTTTCTGTATGCATAGCTTTATGTTCTTCCTTAAAATCTTTGATCTTCTTCAGAATAAAGTAATTCTTCACAATCGAAGCCCTTTATCATGACATTTCTGCCTACTTCTCCAGCTCTATATGGTATTCCTTTGATCACAGTATTTGATTTCCTAAAGACCCCATTCCAGGGCATGGTGGTATGTGCCTGTGGCCCCAGCTATTGGGGAGGCATAGGTAGAGAATGAGGTCAGAGGCCAGCCTCAGACAAAAAATGCAAGACCCTACCTGAAAAATAAGCAAAAAAGGGCTGAAGGTGTGACTCAAGTGATAGAGTGCAAGCAGGAGGCCCTGAGTTCAAACCCCAGTGCCACAAAAACAGCTTATTGTCTCTTCACACCTTAGGTGTTATGCCAGCTATAAGGAATGCCTTCTCTGTGCTCACTTGCGCAAAAAACTCCTATGTCTTCAAAAGCTAGCTCATACACTTCCTTGAAAAGCCTTCCGGGTCTCTAGTAGTTTGGATTTGGGTATGTCTTGTCTCATTTCAAAAGCCCAGTTACTGCTGGCTCATTTGTCTCCTGTCCACTAGAGGCAGGAACTGTTTTGTTCCTCTCTGTATCTAGTGTTTGCCTATCGTCTAAGGGATGCACAGGGAATAGCACAGACTAAGCCTGAAAGAAGATTTCTGTTGGTTCTTTGAAGGCTTGGGGGCAAGCCCAATGACTTTGTATTGTACGTGGTAAGCAGGGGAGAACCAGATGTTAGCTATCAGACCTAGGCCAAAGATGGGAAGGATGGATTGGAGAAGGGCAGCTGAAGGTTAGAGGAAAATGGCAGTGGTTAGCTCTTATACAGAAATAGGGAGGTTTAGGGAGATGGCAACTACCCAAGGCCACACAGCTGGTGAGCTGCAGAACTAGTTGAATACATTCTGGACTATGCCAAGTTCAGAATCTTTATGCCATACCTCTACTATTACATAGTGGACAGGGCTTCAAGGCTGTCTACGTGTGAAAAGGATATTGTATCTGCTAGGATAGGGTAGGTGACATTACAGCCATACTACTAAAATCTCTGTGGCTTAACACATGTATTTTCTATTCACATGAAGTCCCCTTTGGTATATTAAGACAGTTTAGCAATCCAAGCTGTTTTGAGCTCATGGCACTTCACATTGACAGTTTTTCCACAATTCCCTCAACAGGGAAAGAGCACGCGGAGAATGGGGTACAGCTGCATTTCACAAGGGAAGCACATTATATCCCCTTACAGCTATTGGCCAGAACAAGTCCAACGACCCCAAGTGACTACACAGGGACTGGGAACACAGGAAGGGGAAGGGAACAGGAAATATCTGGGGCCAAAATAAAGCTTACCGCATGGCTAGATGGCTACAGGGAAGGGAGGGCAGGCCAGGCAGAGGTACTGAACAGAGAGGTTTTGCTCAGGATTTGGATGAGCAGTCAGGGCTGTTCTGGTCACCTCAGAGGAAAAGTCTTTCCCCCCATGGGTCTCACATAAGCTGAAGAGTACATCCTACCCAGGTGTTCTTCCCTGTAGCGATGTCTGGGGAAGTTCAGGAACTATAAGGACAGGGAGAAAGATGGCCTCACTCAAATGGCAGTTAACAGGAGGCCTCAGTTCCTTCTCTGTGGGGCTCTCCATTGGGCTGTCACACCGCATCTGGCATCTGGCTTCCCCCAGGGCAAATGGTGAAAGAGAAATAGGTAGAAGTCACGACTTAGCACTGGAAGTCACATACCATCACTTCCATCTTTTTTTATTGGTCACACATACCGTGATTCACTGTGGGAAGGGACCACACTAGGGCATGACCAGGCAGGGATTAGTGGAGGGCATCTTAGAAACTGTACTCAAGCCTCCTCTGGAGGACAGGATCTCCTTAACCCCTTCTTGTTCAGTTCTCCGTTCTTTCTCTGCTGAAAGTGGGGTGAGATGAAGTCTGCAGGGAGGCAGGATCAGCCACAGCTGGTGGCATTTTGCAGATGAAGAAACCCGAGGCTGGGAAGATGTTCTTTGATTTGCCTTATTCCCGTATGCTCACAGCAGCTGCATGTTCAACAACCACAGATGTGGGTGTACACTTTAGGCATTTGTAGGACTGTTCTGGCCATTATGCATGGGTCCCCCACTCATTTTGTCTCTGCAGTGGTAACACAAGTCAGGAACAGAGGGGTGACCAAACCCTGCTATTAGCGAGCCAGGCCTGACACACTGTCCTCCACAGTTGTTATCTGGCCTTGGCCCAGCTATGCTGTGTGAGAAGGCAGGGGTAGAAGCAGCCTGCCTCTGCTAGAGGGCGCCAGGTGGGGGCCCTTTGGGGTAGGTGAGAGCAGGGGCAGTGTCCTGCTAGGGGGACACTGTGTGCACGGTATACTGGGTCTATCTGTGACTAATCATGCCCAAGCAAGTTTCTGTTGAGAGGCTTTCAGCCAACCTGACCTTGGGCAGCATTTCTGTTTTTCTTGTATCCCAGGATTCCTCCTGGGGCTTCCAACTGGACAACCTCTCCTTAGTTCTGGGGCTGCATCTTTCTGAGAGTACCTGGAAGAAATTCTCACCTGAGACACCTGGCAGTACCTCCCCTGCAGCAGACTGACAACCACCACCAGCATCCTTCCCCACTGAGGTAAAGTGTTGCCCTCTCACCCTGCCAGGGACACCCAGGCCTGCTTTCCCTTTCTCTGCCGCACCAAAGAAACCAAAACCCAAGCCAAAGTATCAGAAACGTGTATTCTTTTTCTTTTAATAGTAAACCTCTTTACAACAAATATAGTGAAAGAGTTTTCAAACAAAACTCATAAGAATCTCGAGGACTTTGTCTTCTCTTATTGTGAAGAATACTAAGAAAGCATCACCATACAGCACGAAAAGAAATATTGAAAACAAATCAACAGCCACACACTTGGACTCGCCCTGCCCCAGGACCCAGGAGCCCCAGGAGTGTGGGTGATTGTCGGGTTTGGGGGTGGGTCACCTCCATGGCCTGTCCCACCCCTCCCTCCCTTCCTCCCTCCCTCTGGGACTTGAATGGGGTAGAGAAGAGAATCCAGATTCTCCATGGAACATCCCCAACCCCCTCCCCCATACAAATCCCAGTCCTTCTAACTGCTTAGGGGTGGGGAGAGGCAGAAGGCGGTGAACAAGGAGTTCCCAGGCTCCATGTCTCCTTGCCTCTAAGAAAACCCAAACTCCCCCCTCCCCACATACCCCCAGGGGATTCCAAAGAGTCAGTTAAAAATATATAGAGATATAGATATTTCTAGATACAGTTTTACATCATTTCTGTCTCTCCAACAAATAAATAATCAGTAAGAGAAGGTGCATTATTTCCTTCCTGTCCAGGATGGGGAGGGCTGGGTTGGAGTTAGGGGTCAGTCTCTGCATTGAGTGCACTGTTGGGGGAGGGGAAATGGTGTGTTCCACTAAGGTGTGTGGGGGTCCTCTTGCCCACTGTCCCTGAAAGCTGTGGGAAACCTGGGGAGGGGTGGGGTATTGGATGACTCCTGTAGTTACTTTGGCAAATGACCAGTTTTTTGGGGGGAGTGGGTGGAAGCAAATTTGGCTTGTGAGAGGAAGAAGAAATTAAGTCCCCTCTTGAGGTGTGGGTTCTCAGGGACCTAGTTATCTGGCAGGCCAGTAGCCCCTACTCCCAAGAGAAATCACAGGATACTGAATTGCAGAAATATCACATATTCATTTGCAGATCACTCCCTACTTCCAGGGACAGAGAAGAAAGGACACACACATACCCACACATGGCAATCAAAAGCCAGATCTGCCTTCATGACCCAGAGAGGAAAAAACTGGTGAATATTGCACCTGTAGGGTCCTTTACCTTCACCCCCCCCATGTTTGAAGGTGGCCAATCTTAGCCTAGAAAGGAGGGCAGACTTACAATGGTAGAAATAGCCTGAGAAGAGAAGGCCAGTCATTCGACGTTTAGTGAGCACCCATTATTCAAACATTCACCCATTCATCATTTATTGAATGCCTGCTATGTGACAGGCACTAGGCAAGGCCCTGGGGAGCACATGTACACAAGATTACGTACACCCTGGCTTCTTTTAATTTTTTTTTCTGGTACTGGGGTTTAGACTCAGGGCCTACACCTTGAGCCACTCTACCAGCCTTTTTTTGTGATAGGTTTTTAAAGATAGGGTCTCAAGAACTATTTGCCCAGGCTGGCTTCGAACTGCAATCCTCCTGATCTCTGCCTCCTGAGGAGCTAGGATTATAGGCGTAAGCCACTGGTGCCCTGCCACCCTGACGTTTTTAAAATCCTAATCAAGTTCCATCAGTTCTTTTTTTTTTTTTTTTTAAATGCTGTGCTGGGGATCAATCCAGGATCTCATGCATGCTAGGCCAAACACTCTACTAACGAGCTACACTTGTAGCCCACAACCCTATCAATTCCTGAAACTCCCTCTGGAACCTCAGGGAGAGGTGGGAAGGCTGGAAAAATGCATCCCTGCCAAGTCAGCAGGTGGGTGAGACTGAATAAGGAAGATTACTACCCAGTTGAGGACAAAGCCTCATGGAAGAAGAGGACTTGAGTTTTGCTCTGACAGCAGCATGGGGAGTGCTCCAGGAAAAGGAACTGTGTGTCAAGATGGGGGACTAAGTGGATGTGGAGGCAAAGGCTACTATAGGGAAGCCCTGGCAGAGGTAGGTTGTGGGGAAAAGCAAAAAGGGCTGACTGCCAAATCCCCTCTGAAAGCAGTACAAACATGTCCAAGCTGAGGGCAGAAACAGGTAAAGAAGAAGGGAAGATGGGAGTGGGGGTTCACAGAGCTAGAAGCCAGGGCTGTGGGACTGTAACAGCCGCCACCTGTCCCTTTGTAAACACATCCAGCCACACAGACTTGGAGATGCTCTCAGAGCTCCAGTCACACGAAGATTCATGAGTCACCCAGCCAGGCTCAGAGGCACACAAAGGGCCCACGCAACCATACACACACACACACACACATAAATACAAAGGTACACTTGGACACAAAAATACCAGATGCCCTCATGAACACACTAGGTATGTGTGTGGTGACACATACCCCTCTCTGCTTCTGGTTCCTTCCCCAAATCAAGTGTCAAAATACTGCAAGAGGCTGGGTCAAAGGCAGGCAAAGACTGTCATTTACCACAAAACTGAGCCTTGTCTAACTGTACTTTCCAACTGGGAGGAAACCCCAAAGGAGCACTGCCTCCTTGGGCAGAGGAATTGGACTTGTGTGGAGGGAGGCAGGCCCATCTGCCTGCCCACGCTGGCGAGGCCCCTGAGGGAGGGTGTGAAGGACAGCAAGCTGGGAGCCTGCCCCCTCCAGTTTGATTTCTAATCTAGCCTGTGGTTTTAGGACTGCCCCTGGGCTCCTGCCCACAGCCCACTAAGGAGGCAGCAGAGTGGGCTGTCTAAGGGAAGGGAAGGGAGCAAGAACAACAGCAGAAGAATCTTGTCTGTACAGTACAGGCCGTTTGAGTCATTATTATTACAATATACTTTGACAAAAATAGAATCTCATTTCATATCAATACAACAACAACAACAAAAAAAAAAACCAGTTTCCTGGACTGTTACACTGCTAACGTTTTCCAAAGGTCACTATATACAATTACAGTAGCCAAGAAGAGGGAAGGTGGATGCGGCCTGGAGGTGGGGGTACAAGGAGGTAGCAAGACAATGAGGGCGCCAAGAGCAGGGATGTGGGTCAGGAGCAGATGGAGCTAGGAGGTGGTGCTGGGGGAGGCCCAGGAAGAATTAGGGAAAGGCCCTGGATGGATAGACCTCATCTGTAAGGGACCTCCTACTCCTCCCTCCCCCACCACCATTCTGGTGTCCACTCCTCTGGGTTAAGTGTGCACAAAAGGCAAAGGAAATTTCCTCTTTACACCTGCCTGGTGGATGAAAGGGCTCTAGCCCTTTGGCACCCAACGGAAGTTGAGGCCAACTCTGGCCCAGCTCCAGGGCCACATCACTAGAGCTCCTCTCCCCAATCTCCCTGCATGCGTGGCTGTCTTTGTAGGGCTGGGGTCAACTGAGGGACAGGGAGCTATTGCACTGTATATCTTAGAGAAAAAGCTGGGGGGGGAGGGACCCTGATTCACCCTTTGCCCAGCCCTTCTGCCCTCCTCAGCCCTTTCCTCATGGCTCTGTCTTTCTCTCCAATGTGCTTCCAGAGGGGCCCCTACCTCAAAGCCCTGCCCCAGCCTCAGATTCCCAGCACCCACATACCTTGGGGACACAGCATGCACTGGGATCAGTGAGTGCTGTGTGTAGGGGTGTAGGGGCCAGGATCAGGTACTGGCCCCACATGCCCACAGCCACATGAACAGCCCAGAAGCAGAGAACCTCTGCCTCCTCACAATCCCCTTGAAACACAAACCTACCATCAAGCCAGCTTTGGGATCTCAGTCTACTGTATGGGGTTTGTTGTTTGGTAGTTTTTTGGTTCTTTCCTCTGTCTTGGGGATGGGGTAGGAGGGCTCCACATGCAGGGCTCGGCACCTGTCCTTTCCCAAAGGCGTACCGGACCCTCATACCCCCTTCCTGCAGCATATGTGTACAACGTGCAAAGTGTCCCCCCCTTCCCGCAAAAAAAGAGAGGCCCCACCAGTGAAAATGGTGGGGGGTAAGAAAAGGGATGCGAGCATCCCTCTCTCCAAAGCGAGAATTCAAATTAAAAAAAATATAATAATAATAATAATAATATAATAATTATACACAAATGTAACCGTCAACAGGACACGGAGCACAAGAAAGGAAGTGGGGGTCGAGCGGGAGGAGCCCAGGACAGGGAGGGGTGGGCGGTGAGATTGTCAACTCTTCATCGGGGAGGCTGAGAGGAGGGGAGTGGGAACCGTCACTTTAATGTCTGTGAAGAGAGGAGATGGAGAGGGGGTGTGAGGGGTGGCCCAGCCTATACTATGCACCCCATTCCCTCTCCCATGGGACCAGGATTCTAGTGCAGGGCCAGCTGTGGGGGATCGAGCAGAGGGCTGATGCTGGAGGGAGAAGTGGGTCTTTGGCAGGGTAAAGGGGAATTGGTGCTGCCCCAAAAGGGCTTGGTAGAAGGGCTACCTGGCCACAAGGCCTCCCAGGTGGGACAGAAAACGAGTTGGGGTCATATGGGGCAGTCCCTGGGTGTAGCAGACATTGGTAGACACAAAGGGTGATGCTACAGTACCCAGGTATCGAGCCGCATCCTCTTCACGGCTGAGCCCTCAGCCTCAGGCTCTGGGGCTGGACGCAGCAGACCCAGTGTAGGCCCGAAGTCCCCCCGTCCATCATCCCGGTCCCCTGTCTCATAGGATGCCCCTGCTGGGCTGCTGAGACCATCACCAGGCTCAGGGCGGGCAGCCGGGAACACAGCTGGCGGAGGCGGTGCAGGACTGCGCTCACGACTTGGGGACACCGGTTCTGACTTGATGCTGATGTGGGGATGGGTGGTAACTGTTAGGGCAGCACCCACATGGGGCAAGGGGCTGCCTGGGCTGGAGACAGGCAATGGGGATGGGTTCAGGGGACAGAAACAGAGGGGTGAGTGACAAAAAAAGAGTCACAAGACAGAGTAAGAGAGAAAAGAGAGGGATGAGGGAGACACAAGACATAGAGGGTGAAATGAAGGGGGGAGAAGAGAAATAAGTGATAATAATTTAGTTCCATCTCATCTTATCTTTTGTGCTCAACACACCCTCCACCCCCACCTCTGACTAGCTAGGAAAGGGGCCCAAGGTGAGTCTCCTGGGCCTATACAGGGGATTCAGTGCTGCCACACAGTCTCACATGTCCACTGAAGATAGACAGCTCTCTTCAGAGGATCCTCCTTTTCTGCTTCTCACCCCCTGATAATTCCCATGAAAAATCTCCCGAGGACTCACATGAGGTTACTGAGAGATACAGGGACCAGGTGGGGCTGTTGCTGAGGTGGCTGTTGCGGCTGCTGAGGCGGCTGTGGCTGTGGCTGCTGTGGCTGTGGCTGTGGCTGTGGAGGCTGTGGCTGTTGCGGCTGCTGGGGCTGCTGGGGCTGTTGCCAGGCGGTGACGTTGCCTAGTGACAGTCCCCCAGGTGAGCTGAAGGCTGGTAAGGAGGAGAGCTCTGCACTGGTCAACTGGTAATCTGCAGTGGAGAGAAGGTAAGGAGGAACCTGGGGGGAGCACTGCAGATATGGGGCCCTCAGAGGTGAGGCAGATGTGAAGAATCAAGAACCCCATAAAAATTCAGTGAAGATGGCACTTAAAGAAATCCAAGTCATAATAACCGTGAGATGCTGTTTTTTTAACAAGATGAAAAGAGGTGGTTTTTAAAATAGTGTTGAACTTAAAAAAGAAAAAAGAAAAACTCGTGTAGGTATCACTTTTATATTGACAGTTTAAAAAAGAGAAAAAAGAAAGGAGAGGAAAGGTAAGTAGGGAAGGTCTAACATGTCTGTCGTCGTTCCACATGTCAGGTCTCCAGTTGCCTTTCTGAGGCAGTGAGGAGCTACAGGGAAAACTAGGCCAACAGAGCCTGGGGAACAAGTCTGCACTACCATCCCACCTTCTGCAGAGGCCTCATGTGTCCAAAGACTGTCCATGCTTAAGCAGACAGTAGCAGGGACTTGAACTGCACACACAGACACAGATGACGGATGTCTGCTACCCAGTCATTACCCTGGAGCAGAGGGGCTTCAGGGCCCAGGCAGGAAGCATCAGGGCCAAGGTTCTGTGAGGCTGCACCATGAAGGGTGCTCACTGTTTTCTAAGCTGTCTACCCTAATGAGAACACTGTGGTCCTGCACTGCCACAGAACACCAGAACTGTGAAATGATTCACAATTTACACGGCACTGTGAAGCTTCATGTTGTATACCGTTTGGGGCAGTTTAGAAATGTCTTCCCGAGGACCACAGATATGCACACTGTAACAACAGGAGGGCATACTGGGAAGGGGGTGCCCTCTTGGATCATTCCAACCTAAGCCATTCTGCTGTGAGTATGGAGTCATTTGCTCCAGCCCTGTTAATTCAGGGAGATGGTATTACCTCTGCAACATGGCAATGAGGTGAGAGACGCGAGCTATGAGGCCAAAATTCCTGGCTACCTCTACTTACAGCCATGTGATGTCTGTCTATAAACGGGGGCAGTAATTCTACCTACAGTATACAGCACAACTGTTGTGAGGACTGAGCACATAGAAGGCATACAGAATAGTGTCTGGCTCACAGTGAATATTCAAAGATCTACCTGTTACTACTTTACAAATAAGGCCTTAGGTTTGAGAAGCTGTCCTGGGTCACAGAAAAGCTAGTGGAAGAGCTTAGGGAAGGCCCCAGGGCCCACTGTTACCTTCAACCCTTACTCAAGAGTTGGCCCATGCTTGCCCCCCTAACACTGGCTCTGAGTTGTTCTTTTGTTTGTTTGTTTTGTGGTACTGGAGTATGAACTCAGGCCTTGTGCTTGGTAGGTAGGCACTTTACTACTTGAATCAGACCCTCAGCCCTTTTTTGCTTTTAGTTATTTTAATTAATTATTTATTAATTTTGTGGTGCTGAGGTTTGAACTCAGGGCCTGCACCTTGAGCCATTCCCCCAGCCCTTTCTTTGTGAAGATTTTTTTGAGATAGGTTCTCCCGTAGCTGGCTTCAAACCACAATCCTCCTCAAAAAAAAAAAAAAAAACAAAAAACCACAATCCTCCTGATCTCTGCCTCCTAAGTAGCTAGGATTGCAGGCATGAGCCACTGGTGCCTGGCTGCTTTTAGTTATTTTTGAGATAAGGTCTCGCATTTTGCCCAGGCTAGCAAGGACCTCAATCCCACCTATGCTTCCCATGCTGGGAACCACAGGAATGTGCCACCACACCTAGCTTGGCTACAAGTTTTGAGATGCTTATATTAAAAAGGCAGAGCAATAGCAAAAATCGGCCCCAGGACTGACTTTTTAACACTTGTTTTACAAACAAGGAAGTTAGGTCCAGAAGAAAGTGGTGCCTTGCCCAAGTTCCCTTGAAGTGAACAGAAAAGACAAAGTTGTTGGTCCTGCCCTTCTCACTAGAGCATTCTATCTATTTAGAAGGAGTTTGGCCTCCAGGCCATCTGGCTGCTCACTCTGTTAAACCTCTGTAGCCAGTGTCAACAGGGGTCAGGCCCATCTCTTACCAAAGACATTGGCATAGCTAGATCACCCCCAACCAGAACTTGAACACACGTCAGGAGTGTAAACTGAAAAACTGAAACATGCTCACTGGGGTTTTGTTTATATACTGAGGGTTACCTGAAAATACCTGCTATTTAAATAGAGGTAGCTTAGCTACTAGCTACTCCTGGAGCAAGAACTGCCCTGGCTTTTGAGAAAATGTGAGAAACCCCACAAACTTCCCTGGTCTCTGAGGGTAGACCCAGGGGCAGAAACTGCTTTCACACCTCAGTAACAAATAAGAGTCCTTAAGGCTGGCCCTGCTGAACACCTATCCCAGATTCACTGACACCAACTAACTTCTGCTTCATGAAGACTGCTGGAAGCAGAGACAGCAGAAAACCATCATGGTTGGGATTCCCAAATAAACAACAGTTCCCCACAACTGAGCTGTCTTTTGCCAACTGTCCCAGCTTGTCCTGTCCTCAGGGAGTGGCTTTGTTTCTTGACCACAGCAGCAGGGCTGCAAGACCCTCGGAGACCTTTTGTCTACCCGCTATTCGTAGAGACAGGAGATTGGTCCAAAAGGGGCCTCTTTGGAAGCAGTCCTCCCAAGCTGCAAGATGTAGTAACCTGGGAGTAGGTATGCACATAGGCGCATAAGCAAGGGACAAGGGGCTCACAGACATCTGGGCAGTAAAATCTTTACCCAGACTCACATGCCAGAGTCTGGCCCTCAGTGTAAAGCAGGTCATTCAGTTCTCTTACCTGCCACTGAGGGTTTCTTCCACTTGGGCTGGAAAGGAGGGTGGAGGTGGCACTGGTGGATAAATGTACTGGTTTCTACACCTGACATGCTTCAGTTCTGGGATAAGGCTTAGGGAAAGGGAGAAGTGGGGGTCTTCGGGTCTAGTCTGCTCTCATTACAGGAACAACTCTAACACAGCCACTTGTGTGAGAGAGACCTGGGGTAAGGAGCCCACTGTCACACAAATGCTGTGAAACCAGGTGACAAGGCATTTCCCCACTGGAAAGCCCTTCCTGACACTGCAGCCTGAAGCACAGGCAAGGATGGCTGAGAGTGTCACAGACTGCTCTCGGGCAGGTGTGAGTGGGTGGCACAAGCCAAGACAGCCCCGGGGACCCAGGACAGCCTGGGCACTGGGTGTCCTGTCTGACTTCTCCCCAGAGGCCTCTCTCATGTACTCAGGTGACTCTTTTGTCTTCAGACCTGCCTTCCCAACTTTCATCAGTCTTTTGCCTGCCTTTCCCCTCATCGTCCCACCACCAAGCCAATATGGAGCGACCCCCTTCCTCTACCACCCTTGTCCAGGAAGCTGGCAAATCTATTCTGGCCATGCTTCTACTCTGGCCTCCTCAGTTTTCCTGTCTCCCCTTTCCTTCATTCCTTGATTATACTTCTTCAGGAGGCCTTTGCTCAGGCCTTCTCTGTCCAGTCCCCCTACAATGGAGGCTTCTCTCCTCCATGAGGCCCTATATTAAAAATAAAGGATGCCCAGTTAAATTTGAATTTCAGGTAAAACAATGCTTAATTTTATTTTTTTAGCATAAGTATGTCTTTGAGACATACTTTAGCACAAGAATGTCTTTGGGATATACTTAAACTAAAAACTCACTCATCATATCTGAAATTAAAGTTTAACTGGGCATTCTGTTTCAATCTAGCAACTGTAATTAGGTAGGAGTTTCCCAAAATCAATGGCTTTCCTCAGACTGGGGCTCCCCCAACATATCTAATGTTCCTTTTCTGGCAACTCACCTGCCCTAAGCCCAAGTGCACACATGTCACATACTCACCTGTGTTGTAGGCAGTGGGCATGGAAGAGAAGGGGAGGCCCTGGCTGAGTAAACTTGGTGTTGCCACGGAAACCACTGGGGTGGTGAGCGAATGGGTAGACTGGGAGACCCCAAGGCGCTGGGCATTGTTCTGCAGGAGAAAACTAACTGTCAGAAAGTAGCAGATGGATAGGTGGGCTGCCTTAGGCTGGCCTTCCATGTCAAGGCTGAGCTGGGGTCCCTGAATCGATTCCAAGACCAAGGTGTGACGCCTTACCATGGAGGTATCATAGACACACAGACACAATCTTGTGCATTCAAAAGCACAAAGAGAAACTCACAGAGGAAAACACGCACAGATTCCTTCACGCCTGCACACAAGTCTTACGGCCCAACACTGTCTTGGGCATAGGAGAAAAGGGAGGGATGGTATTCTTCTGCTGGTCAGGCCCTCCAGAGTCTACACTGAATCCATCACACTGTACAGACACCTCAGGAGACGTATGCTGGTGTCCGGGAGGAGAATGTGGGGCCTGGTGTGGCATGTGCCTGCGTGTATGCACACACGTGTGTGAGGCTGTCAGCTCCATCTGCCGCTGAGTCACTTGTTTATTCCAACTCAATGCTGGGGCCGAAATACTGCCGTGTTGGCCGCCAAAGCCTGCCTGCCTTTTCCAGTCTCTCTGGCCTCCCATCAGGGAGCTGGGGAGGAAGGAGCCCCCACCCCATTCCTGACTGAGGATATGTAAGTGTGTGAGAGAGACAGAGAGGAAAAAAAGATTGGCTGTGTATGTTGCTGGGTGTCCTTGAGATGGGCTGAGTGTAGGAAGGAGTGCAAGAACTGAAGGGAGGTAGGGAAGCCCCCACTAGGGACAACTCTGGCTTTGCCTCAGGCCTCAGCTTCCCCTGGAAAGCTGACTTTACTGGGCTGTCTTGTTAGCATCCCCCCTAAGGATCAGGTCCCTGTTCTGTGTTCTAGGAATGCTGTGTGGGCATAAGTAGAGTTGGAGGGCCAGTGGGATCCCTAGGGTTGGGACATCTGAGGCTTGGGAGGGCCTCTTGTCCCTTTTTGGATACACATATACCCACGTGTATCTGAATGAATGCAACATCACATAAAGACATCTACACACACACACACACACACACACACACACACGTACACATGCATGTATGTCTAACCCTCACCCCACACCATCCACCTTGACACTGAGCACAATTCCTGGCAAGTAACCAAATAACCAAACACCACACGCTAAACACATGCAAAAGGACAAAGGCACACACACACTTCATGCTGAGGAACTGCAGAGCAATGGGCTGACTCAGAATTCAAAGGCACAGCAAACGTCTCAGAGCCTAACTTACCAGGTCTAAATGGTCCTCAGTCTGGGAGCAGAAATAAAACCAAGGGTATGGTTCAATCTCTACCCTCTGGTCACCTTACCACCCCCTGCCCCAGCCATCCATCCACCTCTTTGCCTAGAAGCAGGATGCTCTCACTGACCCAGAATGGCAGATCTCGTCTAGCTGATTTTCAGAAGACTTACATTCCAGCCTCCACCACTTAGGATATCCTCATGATCTGGTTCCCATCCTCCTGCTATAGTGAAAATCCCTTCTATTATCCTCCCCATCATAGAACCTTCTCCCTCACCTTCTGTCCCTTTGTATTACCCTAATACAGAAGGCTAATCCTTCTGTGGTCCAACCTCATAAAAGGCCCTTGGGAAGAGCTCATGAAAAGCCATGCTTCCATGATCTCTCTTGGGAAGTCCTAACTGCTGCTAACCTTCATCTCTCCTGCTCTTCCCCTCTTCCCACCTCCCAGTCCTAGCCCTTGCCAGGTGCAGACATCCACTCACCAAGTGATGCATTAACCCTTTGCCTCCCTGGGAAGTGATGACCCGCAGGTCAGGCTTGCGGCTGGGGGCTCCAAGCTGGGCACTGTGGGTGGGTGGGGGCGGAGACTTGGCAGGGATGACCTTGTTTAGGCTGTTCCCATTGGCCACAGGGAGGAGGCCAGGGGAGGCCCGAGCACTGACATAGCCATTCCCTGGAGAAGTGAGGAGATGAGAGGGAAAAGAAAAATACCGGACTGACCCTCAGCCCTGTTAATTCCCCCAATCCAACACTCCTGTCGCCTAGAGCCTCTCAAAGCCATGAGTGGGGGTTGAACTGCCTGATATTCCCTGAAGTCTTCCCATCTTGGGAATAAGGGGGGAACACCCTGGATCCCAATCACTAAGTTCATTCCTTCCCTCCAAGCCACAGGTGGTATGGCTGGCTGGTGGAAGCTCTGAGGATGGAAGGCAGAACTGGAAAGCAATCACTGCTTTTGCCCCACCAAGGACAAGGAGGAAGCCCTACACCTATGCCTCTCTATCTCCACAGGCAGCACATCCAGCACTACTCTCAGATTCCATAATCTGCCTAAACCTGACCCACAATGACCAGAAGCCTGGTCACCAGAGCTAACCATCAACCATTAGGACTGCTCCCTTTGCCATGAGATGTGGATGCTATGCTTGGGATTAGCACATGACAAGCTGCCTGCAGCCTCAGGAAGACAGGCCATTCATTGGTGGGGATGGTGTTACTGGCACTGGGAGACTGATGACACAGCCACCACCGTAATTAAGACTGGTAATAACAGGCATAATAACTATCTGCTCCACACTCTACAATGTACACAGGCCTTTCACACATATATTATCTCATTTAGTCCTCCCATTAACCCTGCAAGATGGACAGGACATGCATCATTAGCCCTGTGTACAGAAGAGGAAACTTGAGCTTGGTTGGAAGAGGCATGATGACTTGTCCAGGGCCACACAGCTGGCTGGAGACCAAGCAGGGCTCTCACCTACTTCCCACATGCTATATTCAAGGATCTGTAAGCAAGGTCTATAAGCATTTCTCTGGTCCTCTCCTTGGAAAAGAAGAGGTATTCACCCATTCTTCCACAATTACTGACTCCAGTTCACAATTATTGCCACTGAGCTGGAGGATTCTGAGGCCCAGGGATGTGGGGGTGAGGGGAGAGGGGTGATTGTAGTCAGAAATGCAACCTTGCTCTGCCCCCTAAGAGCATGCTGTTGCCCTGAAAGAATGTGGCGGCCTCCTTCCCAATTCCTGGACCACTCTGGGAATGGCAGGAATGTCAGGGTGACGTCAATGGTGACATTAGAAGTCACAGCCACACAGCTGGGTAACAGTAAAGAGAAGCAGGGGCTGTCAGCTGCTGGGGGAAGGGGACAGGGGCACCTCCCTTCTGCAGTTCATGTATATGTGCCTGCAAGTGCACATCTATGTCTGCACATCCCATGAGAATGTAAAGGCCTGTGTGCATGGGAGTATGTATGAGTCTGTACCTACTGTTCATCTAAGCAAGGCCAGGCACTCTCGTCCTCTAGATCTCAGACATCTCTACTCAACTAGATAACCCTGCATCTTCCGCTCTAAATAGAAATGTTGTTCCATTCTCAGTTTGCTCAGCATTTCCTGATCCTTCACTTCTGCTGATCATCCACACCAATCGCTGCTACAGACACCAAAATCTAGGGCCTTAAAAATCCTCTGACTTTATCCAATTCAGGTCCTCCCATCTTTCTCTCCTCTCATCTAGGTCCTTGGACCTGAGGCCACCATGCAGACAGCCCTCCCCTCAGCCAGATGATAGGGGATGCACTCACCAACAGGACTGGGGCAGGCTCCATTAGCACTGGTGAGGTCTCCTCCCAGCATGGCCCCTAGGGGAAAAAGCAGAACCACAATGAGCTGACAGCATTCCCCCTCCCAATGTGAGTCTTGGAGACTGAACAGGAAGAAGGGATGCCAGAAGGAGTCCTAGGTCCTTCCCTCAGGAGCCACACAAATGTGGGAATGCTGTGGTAGGCAAAGGGAAGACCTTTGAAAGTGGAATCCCAGAGTCCCCTCCATACCTCATTTCCACCTCACCTATCCATCCTCCAGCTCACTTACCCGCACTAGCCGGCCGTTGGGGCAGGCCCGGTGACACACTGTTCCTCTGTAGTGCTGGCTGCTGGGGGGACAGGAGCCGTGGGTCTGTGAGGGACGATGTCACCAGGGAAGGGGTGACCAGGGAGCTACTGGGATTGCTGAACTGCAGTGAGCTCTGATTGGACACGGGCACCGTTACAGGCATGGCAAAGTTGGGGGCCGGAACAGCTGACTAGACAGAAAGGTAGAGAAGCAGTGTCAGGTCAAGTCAACCCCTTCTCTGGACCCACTTTCCCTGGGAGGGCAGGCAAGAGACTTTCTGGTTTCTGGGCTATGCTCCTAGGGCAGCAGCTCAAGCTTTCTGCCTTCAGCCTTCTAGCAGCCCTGTCTGCCTTTCTCACCATTGAGGTGGGAACGCTCTGGGATCCAGCTCTGGCCCAGAGGACAGCAAAGCTCTGCTCACTGCAGACGGACCAGAGACACCCCCTAGTGGAGATGGGTTAGTCCTCAGCCAGGCAGGACACACCAGGAGCAGGTTAGGAGCCCTGAGGACAGACCCAAACTCACACACAACTGTTAAAGGCCTGTGCCACAGTCAGACATTGCTTTGCTTGTGGTCACCCCTCCATTTGGCCTGCTGCAAAGGAATTTCATGCCCACCTCTGCCTTCCCCATTATCAGTTCTGCTTCCCCTAAACAAAGCTGAGTGGTTTAGATGGAGGCACTACAGCAGACCAAAAGGGCCTTTCCCCCAGGTGACTGGACACAGAGCAAACTCTGCTCTCCTGTTTTCTAAGCACTTCATGTCACTGTACACTTCTTGCTTGTGAGGGGGACACTCCATACCTATCTGTCTTATGCACCATCCAAAATGGGTCTCAGCAAAGGCCAAAGGGTTATTATGACCAAGGCTGGGGATTGCTCAGTGGTCACTACTGGCCCCAGCATGGCTCAGAGCAGAACGTCCATCAGAGGCAGCTGGGGCTGCACTGGGCGCAAAGCCACACCATGCACCACAGGGAAGCTCTCCTCCATGCGACTACTCACGGCCAATCTATAACTCTGCATCATTTTATCAAACTCCTCGTCTATCTTTTTATATTTCTCCTCCGTCTGGGGGGTCAGGGCAAACACCTCGTCCACCTCAGGGCTCTCACACTCCCTGTGCTTCTTGTGCAGCGCCTGGGGGGGAGGGAAGGGGCCGGAAGGGGGGCCAACAAAGAGAGAGTGAGTGGGGCTCACCCCATAGCGCCGGAAGAGCCCGTCGAGCTCCTCATTGGCGCGCCGGTACTTGTCCTCCAGCAGGGGGCTCTGTTCCAGCGAGTCCTCCCCGTCGGGCTCTGGGCTGTCGCAGCCATTGAAGCCCTTCTTCCTCAGGGTCTGTAACCGCACCACTAGTCAGCCAGCCAGCAAGGATCCTCCCTGCCCCCGGCTCAGTTCCTTCCATCCTTCCCTAAGATCCCTACTCTTCCCTAACCCCCTTCCTCAGGGTTCCCAACAGCTCCCAGCCCCACCCTCCAAGCCCCTTTCCCTTCCCTACCACAATGCCCCTGGAGTCCCGTGT